TATTTCACGATTTTTTGCGACAAGCCTAAGCCTACAGGCAAGGGAAAAATATGTTCGAAAAATGTGAGGAAAAAAACAATTTAAAAAAAAAACACGTTGGCCGGCCAGTCAGTTGCTCGGAGAAATTTTGGTCCACTGTCAAACCAACTTGCCGACCCCTGCTCTAGAGTCTCTCAGTCCACTAGATACTGTTGTTTTAAAATTCCTCTTTAATTTGAGTCATTTCTTGCTATATTAGAAACTTCCCCATGAATACCTCTCTCTTCAGTCCTTGAGCAGAGACCTCTTCCCGATGCAAGTGCTAGTTACGGAATAATCGGCAGAAGCGATGGCTTTCTGAATTTATATCCAAAAAAAATTTTTTTTGAAGGACAGAGTGCCATAGTATAAAGGCCCTCCCCTCTTAAATACGAGCTTGGAAGTTTTTGGAAAATTGAAGGCTTAGGATTTATAATCAGATCAACACGAAGTGTTCGATAATTTTATCAGAAAAAATTTGACAGTTCAAAAGATTCGATTTTTTCTTCATATTCCAAAATGACATTCTCCATAAAATATACCAAAATTACGGCAGTAATATAAAAAGTCCTAATAACATCAGTTTCTATTACGAACATACTTCCATATCAACGAAGTTTCCATGTAAATTTCCGTAACTGCATGAAATTATACAAGAGATTTCATTGAAATCTCCTCTCAGATGTCATCATTCTAATGTAAAATTTCTTCTTCAACTTATTGCAAAACAGTGACAGCTGATGATACATATTAAAGTAAAACTTTTGTATTTATCGTTCTGTAGTGACCGAAACTGGCTTGTCACCGATAATTTATTTATAGTTAGATAATTTAGGCAAAATACAAATAATTTAGATTAGCATCTTCCTTATGAGCGAATTTCAGTTAGCATATCTCTAGAGGAGGATCACACTGTACAATTCAAGAAAAAAAAACGGAAGAAAATCGAGCTGAGGCTGGCAGCCGTCTGTAAGATTGTAGATCATGTACATGATGGAGGTCATCTGAAAAATGTTCAAAGAAGAGTTCAAAGGTTGAAAATATGAACAGAACTTTACAGAAAGTCATTTTATCAGCATTAAGGAAATTTGCTTTGAGCCTAAATTATCTGCCTTGACTGCCATCCACTCATCTCTGAAAATAAGCTTCACAGCATGAATTCTCCATTNCCAAAGGTTTAAAAAATTCTGAAGTTACGGGATTTTGTGAGTTTTCACGGTAACTATGATGGAATGATCTATTCAGTCGTGCTCATGTGGAATCCTTGTAAACGGAATAGCCATAATGATGACGAAATTATCGGGTGCACTCCATAACGCATTCGGTGTGATCACGATGGGATATTGCTTATCGAATTTGGTCATTTTAGTGGTGATTGGAACGTGGACTATCATCGTATTAACACTGTATTGTTTAATCATTTTTGTTTTACAAAACTTAATCATTTGCAAGCCATTTGAGTTGGATGTATATCGATCGCACTGAATGAGCGTAAAGATTTCTCAATTTTTTATGACCTTCATACAAATAAATCGAGTTTTTAGACGGATCATAGTTTTTTGATAAAGAAAGCAACGGTGCAATAGACGGTTCTTCTTATGCATTCCATACGGGAAGAAAACATAAGAAATGTTCAGCTTTTGTGGATCTATCATGTTCACGACTGCAGCTGAATGAGTTCTCATTAATTTATTTAGCATACTTGACATAAACACGCACTAACGGAAATCTCAACCGGAAACATATGAGTGTGGTTTCGTTAAGGTGCACTCTTATCGACTTCGTATCCAAATCACTAGTCACGGTCTATTTCAGCGGCAACATTTGGCCGGATTCCCCTCTGCAATATGTCGCCGGTCAAGTCTCGAACGGCATGTATTATGCGAGTATAACAGTGCACTTATTGCTCGCGATCAATCGTCTCTGTGCCATTTGCTTCCCGTCAAAATACGCACGACTATTCTCGTTCGAAAATGCGGTCACATCACTTGTGTTCCTTATGATGGTCACCTTCTGCATTTCATTCACTTACTACATCGGTAATTAATTGCATTTTGTTTTGCCATGCATTCTTCCACCACACTTCCTCTTTAACATATGTTCAACGGTAAAAATCTTATTCGATCATACGCTTCCTTCGTATTATCGCATTATTACGCATGTTTCATGTACTTACTATTATTGTTATTATTGTGATTACAGTTAAAATTAGCTCTCACCATTATTCATTTTTATCGCACCATTCTTTCGGATTATTGCGATCCTTCCGGACATGATCTTTTTAGTATTACTATTTTATAAATTCTCCAATATATTTGAAGTGTTGATTCGAATTCTATCCAACGTTAGCTTTCTTGAAAAATTCATCTCTTATAGAACGTCTATCCGATACGACTGAAAAAGACTGAACACAACTTTCATGAAAATTCTCATTTCTCACTCAATTCACATTTATAATTCAAGCACAGTTCTTTCAGATGGATGTGGATATATATTTACAACGGATAAATTTGTATGGAGATTCGAGGATACTCAGTGCGGTTATATAATATCGGTTTATGCGGATTTTTATTTTCCTCTTGGTGTAGTTGTTCTGATGACGATCGTAGACATTTGCACGCTATTCATGTTGCACTCTTCTGCGAAGGTTCTTTTTCTTAGTCTTCTTTGGAGTTTGTAAACTCCTCTAAGTGCATTCATAACAGTCAACCAACTTCAGTGCATGTACTTCATTGCTTTTTAGCCGTTTTCATGAATCTTTGAGTTATGTTAAATGGCCGCCTTTGAAGTTAGCTCCATGAAGTGCAGAGAACTTTCCAAAAGAAATCGAAATCGAATTAGACAGGTATGAAGTGAGTTATATTATTGCTGAGAGTTATAAATTGTTTGCGATCACAACTAATTTGAATAGAACAAACATTTTCAGAGAGCCAACAGAGCAGGCATTGCAACGGTTTCCCAGCATTCGAGTCGTACTCGAAATCGTGAAATTTTGTTCTTCTTGCAGGTAATTCGGCGAATACTTCCGAGAATTGTTGTTGTTCGCAATTAGCGTTCCATTGAATGAGAGCATTGTACAACATGGTACCCGATCAATCTGTCTAAAGACATTTAGCCTAACGACAGTTTGCCTAAAGACACATTATTGCCTAACGGGCATTTTGCCTAACGGACAGTCTGCCTAACGGACAGTTTGCCTATTAGACGAAATATCCATTAAAAAACCGTAAGTTAAGCAAACTGTCCGTTAGGCAGCGTGTCTTTAGGCAAACTGTCGTTAGACTAAATGTCATTAGACAGATAGACCGGTCACGGAACAACATGACTGCATTGCATGTGCCAGTGAATTTCATCAAAATTATACCGTTCACCTTGTGGTTTTCAAGTAATGAATCGAAATCTGTTCGTTAATAATCAACGTTTATGAATTTCATTAGCAACTTGCTTGCTCTTGTATAATTTGCTGTGATGTATTCCCGTAGCAAAGATCAAACTCAGAGAGAAAACAATTAGTTGAATTTATAATATTTGGTATTGAATTTCAGTCATGCACATGTGGTTCAGTTTACGTTCTTGGAGTGATCTCGTTTCATGTCCTTTCAACGTTCGTCACATCAACGAAATGGGGTGAATTCGGTTGCGTGACTTTTGCTTGGATTTTAGTGCATTCCCTGGATGGGTTAGTTTATGAACTGTAACAACTCTTTTATGATTCATCATTAGAGTTGAACGACAAGTTCATTGAAATGGTGAACTTTTTAACTGTTTCTTTAGGGAATATTTCAGACTGTTCGTTGTTCTTTTCACGCTGTATCGTCGTCAGCACGGCAAAACATTACCTGTTGCTCCATTGATCAATGGAGCTGTTACTCCATTGAACGGGCAACCTGCACGAGTAACGTAATTATTTGGTCACGATTGTTGGATTGATTAATTCACTTGAAGAATTACGACGCAATCGTCTGCATGGAATCTCCCTTAATCCTTTCGATCGCCATGTACCT